TTGGGTATATTGCTAGCAATAGGATTCTCAGTCTCCATTACTAACAATCCCTTTCCCCCATTAAAGCTAGTGTTATGAACACATAAAATTTTACGTGTACAACAGAACTGCACGCGTTCGCTGCAGAAAACGTTTTATTTATATATTCCTTTATAATTAGCTATTTAACGTGCCGTGCCGTGGGTGTCATATTGAGCTCGTTGTTGTCGAGTCGTTTAAGTTCTCAGTTCTTTTTGTAACTCGCCCGGTATTTAGGTAACCATCCTATCTATTTAAGTAGCGAGAAAATCCATTGCCGCAGAACGAAAGGCGTACAGCTATCATCTTTAAATTAATAGTTACACGAGTGTAGCGTCCCCACTGTTTTGGCAATAACAACTGGAGATACGTATCTGTCCTGCTCCCATTATAGTTACAACGGAATACGTCGTCTAGGAAACTCACAGGTATGATGAGTTTTTCACTAGCAACATTCAAATGAAAGTTCTAATTTAGTGGGATTTTTTTTGTCTCTTTGTATACGTGATTAATTGTTGTCATCAATTTTCAAATATTTTTTTCAATTCTGAACTATTTTTTTAGTAAAGTAGTAGTTAAACCCTATTTTTAGTCGATAGGGTTTACTAATGTATTATAGTCCTACATTCATTTTGTGCGGTTTAAAGCAGCAGCTACTGCTCTGTTCGTAAAATTCTAGAATCTACTATCGTTACTTTTACATTTTAGAAGTAACAGAGTAATACAAGTTGCAGTCTCTTACAGTCAATCTCTTACATACAACCTTTGGTTAAAGGAGAACAGACAGAAATGTTTTTTTTTACAGGATTACGTTCCTTCCAGAAGGTTCCATTCTAAATTTAATATTTGAAATTGATTTTTTTATTTGTGGAGTTACATCTCGGTATGCGATTTTCCGCGCTAAATAACAAACAAGCATTTAAATACAGATTGGATGCGACAATCCGAACGTACTCGTATGTGGGCGTGCATAGATTTTTGCAACTCCGTCTGTCGTATCTCCGTTTCAGCTCCCAACAATATACCTTGTTTATTAACATCACATAAACCTTCGCCTACAAAACTGTTTTGAAAGCATTCCAATTGTCACTTCATGAGGAGTTTTATTAGGTACATATGTGAAAGAAGTGCATTACTATCATCAGAATGCTTTTCACTAATATAACCAGAACATCAGTTACTAGTTGATTGCTAAATATAAGTCTCGCCCATATTTTATCACAAAATACGATCTCTTATCATCAGCCAATCATCATCTATTTTGTCTATGAAAATGAAATGTCCCGCCAGCGTTATCAGTCTACGTTGGGTTTCTTAGCTTTGTAACCTTCATAAATAGTCCTTGTTAGTGATGAATGGCGAAGATGAAATAAGGTTGCTTGGCTCGTCGTGATAATTTCACCAGGATTTAAACGTGATACTTTCCTTGGAAGACGAATGAAAGAAGACCGTTCGTACCTCTGTTAAGTCGATTTAATAAATGGACATATCTACCTGGCTCAGAGACAAAGTTTACTCAAATTTTCTCTGCTTCCTGTTTTATTTCATTTATAATATGGAAATTGTGCGGACAAATACCGTGCCGCCCATGGCACTTCTTTTGTTGCCATTCCGAACAGATAAACCTAGTGTGTTGTGCCTGTTGTTTTATGTAAAAAAAAAAAAAATTATTTTACACGATTAACTTATGTGATACAATATACTTGAACTATCACTTTCGATTAGAAATTTGGCACGGTTATTGGACTGTGTCGTTTGCCCGCGTTTATTTCTGGCGAAAGAATCCATAAAAAAAACCATTTAATAAAAATAAACCATAGAGCTAATTGGGTATTCAGGATATTATTATGATGTTATTTAGGAAATTTACAAAATAAATACATTAAGTATGCTTATATGCACGTACGCACACACGCACTTATGTGTGCACAAACACACACACACAAACACACGGGCGCATAATCACACGCACACGCACAAGCACACACGCGAACTGAATAATATTGATATTTGAATTTAGAACGCGCCATCGTGTTTTTGACATAAATGACACAAACAAAAAAATAACGAATTGAGAAATAGGACCTACAGTCGAAATAACATTTGGTACAGAATTTAGGATTTAAACTTACGATAAATAATAGTTACATAGTCATGGGTTTGTATTTTTTAACTGACTTCAAAATGGTGGAGATTCTTAATTTAACTGTACTAATGTTTTTTTACTAGCTTTAACCCTCGGCTTCACCTTTGTAAATGAACATATAAAATATTCTATGTTATAAGTTAGTATCTATGTATCAGTGTACTAAATTTCATTCAAATCCGTTCAGTAGCATTTGCGTGAAAGAGTAACATTCATCCATTCATCGTTGCAAATTTTTGCATTTATTATATCAACAGAATTAATAGGATGTGTTAAAAATATAAAAACTACTTCTTTTTTTAATCGCAGTATGAGTATTTCACTGCGGTCTATAATCTATGGTCTCATCCTTACTAGTGAAAGTGTGTTTATGTTCGTTATTTTTTGTTATCTCTTGAACATATCTCAATCAAGCAAGCAAAATCGCGAGTAAAAACTATTATCTAATATAATTCATTAATTTACTCCTATCCAGTATAAATTTTGACAAGATTAAAGTATTTTTATGCGAAATGAAATCATAAATAATTGAACACTTCTTTATGTCAGAGTGATGTTATTAATCTACAACGACAATACGTGTGCTCTATGATTAGTTCATTACTCTTTGGCCTATAAAAATAGATTTAAATTCAATATAAACGAATTCTTGTGTTTACGACTAAACAATAACTGAAAGATATTATTCTTCGGTTTACGATATCATTCGACGGGATCAGAGAATACTTGGCGGTTGCTGAGCCAAAACTTTTTGGTAGATATTTTGTGTGGATGCCAGAATTTGTGAGACCACATTGGTCTTCATTTTAACGTCTCATTTAGATTCTATAATACAAAACGACCTATTAAAATCCTACTATCAAGGAATAGATAGAAAGGATATCAGAGAAATCTTTAAGATTTGCAAAATACCATCTTGCAATAGTGGGTATTCTAACATCTTTACCACACTGAATGCATCATAACCTGGATTAACAAATACATGGGATTCTTTTCACGCGGTTCACGTAAATAATGCCAATGTTTATAGTCAGTATTTCTAATAAATACAGAGAATAATTTACTGCTAATCATTTGGATATTGTTCTTGTCTGTAATGCAGTGTTACATCAAAGTCAGGCAAAGGCAAATTATTTTTATTCTACGCGTTTTACCGAGACTTTGGAGACGTTAGTTTACTGCTAAACAAAAATGTTTATATTATTATAACTAGACTGTAAAATTGAAATATTTATACGTAGAAATAAGACCTATATAAAAAAGTGTCTTCATTATTATGCAGTTAACTTATCTCGTGAATTTACAGGGTACAGAGGAATAACACCTAAGTCCTCAGGAATGGCAACGCATGGGGGTATCATGGGCGAAACAGTATACTCTGTTATATCCATGGTACTGCTCATGTCTATAGGCGACGGTTACCACTTTCCATCAGGTGGGCCGTCAACTTATTTGCCATTCTAAGTTGTATAAAAAAAATCTCGATAAATCAAACTAATTTGACTTCAATTACAAAATAAAATGTGTGAATACCCTTTGAAGCCAAATCTACTCAATGACAATAATATTGCACTGTCATTGTGTATGATAAACTAATTATAATATAGTAAACTACAAGTTGACATGCATATCAATATAAAGTTCCTAACATTAATGAAAAACGGGTATATAAAAAATATTATATTGCCTTGTAGGTCCCGGCGTAGAGTAGGCCACCCCTTCCTTTCTTGTAGGTGTCGTAAGAGGCGACTAAAGGAGGGCGAGGGATTTACAGCAGCATCTGTTTTAAAACATCTCCAAACCCTAACTGCGGTTGCCAATCCGGCGTCAAGCGTGGCAGCCACTGGCAAAACTCCTTAGGGGGAGGCTTACGTTTATCAGTGGGCAGTGAAAAGCTGGTATGATGATGATGATGAGCATATCCAAATAATGTTCTGAACATTCACGAATTAATATAAAAAGAACATATGAATTCGTGGATGTGATGTGGGTACATTAAGAATCATATTTTATTAGATTTTAATTAACTTCCTATATATTATGTGGAAAGAGATGAACGCTGGTACTATCGTTCATGTTTGGGGTATTAATACAAAAAGTTACTTGCACGGTTTCACTCAAACAAGTATAAGTTTGCACCTATCTAATATTACAAGTACGGGGGGAAAGGGATTGTTAGTAATGGAGACTGAGAATCCCATTGCTAGCAATATACCCAACTAGATCGACCTTCTCGCAGTTCTCCCTGGAAACTATCATGGTTAATTCCTGATGAATTCATCATGATGGGCTAACTGGCCTGTTTTCATTCTCATCTATCACCCTTCACTGGTGCTCCGCCAGCGTATCCCGTTAGCACAGGCGGGGGGTTACTATACCATTTTCACCCATCAAAAAAAAAATTACGAGTATATTTCACATGGAGACCGTATACGCAGTACCGTTTATTTTTATTTACATAGTGGATATTATTAACAAGGATTCTTTCTATTTCTTGAAACACTCGTATTTTTTTTTTAATTAGGTAATAGATGTAGTGATGTGATATCACCTTTTTTACTACTTAGGGTCGATACCGCAAGAAAATACCTACATGTATTCCATTATACACAGTTTATCTTTACATTTATCATCCGGTGTACAGATTTTGTTATTTACCTATTTGATTCTTTTATTATTTTGTTTATTTTAAAAAGAGCATCAATATTGTCAACACAAAGGTTATCTGAAAATATTTCCCAAATCGAACCTACGACCTTAGCAACGATATAACGTCTACATAAATCCAACCTACACACTTTCACACGTTACTAAAATTCCAAAAATACTCACTTACCCGTATAAAAGCATAGCACAAAACACTTTTTGAACACACAATAAAACGCAACACAGAACAAATCCAATGCAAAATCGAAACGCGCGGTTTTATTTTTAAAAATGTCCAACGAAATGGACGGCCACGTCCACAACGCGCTCCGTCCAAACAACGTCTAAATCTAATTATAAAGTTAGATGCGAAAGTTATTCTGGTTTCGGGAAATATAAAATTACTCGGCCGCATAGTGTTGTGATTTTTTATCGATGTTTAAACGGTCTAAAAGATGAGCTTGCAACTTTGATTATTCGCTGTCATAATCGTTACAGTTACGCTGGTGAACACTTAGACTATTAGAAGGAAAGATCTCCGAGTCCCCTTCATCCATGAATTATCTGTAGTAACGTATTTTAACTCATTATTTCATTCAATCAAACATAATCCTCCTGATAAAGGTAGGCCTTTCTAAGACGCTCAAATTCCTACTTTCTTGCCATGAATTTACACGGTTTTGATACCTACGTTTCGTGACATAAACATAAATTGGAAATTGAAAACTTTAACATACATACATACATACATATATCTGTCACGCCTGTCTCCCATTAGGGTAGGCAGAAACAATGGAACGCCAAATGCTTCGATTCAAACAAACCTCTTTCGCTTCTTCCACATTCATCAATCTTGTCATACACGCAAAAATTTTAACCTTACTACAGAATTTAAACCCGTCGCTCCTAATTATTTAGAACTTCCACTGGAATTCTCCCAGTTATTGGGTCGCAGAGAGAGTACCATGTAATAATATATTTACGATTCCAATAGGATCTTTGAATCCTACATTTTGATATTTCTTAATATGTTAAACCAAATTTTTAACATCAAATTTCGTTCTGATATTTAAAATTCGTTTATTTTTTCTAACTGGAAAAAAGGAAAGTTACACAAGGCTGAGCAGTGTTTTGTCTTTGTTGATGTAAAATCTAGTTGATGAAAAATATCGATATTTATAATTTCATAATCATCGAGCGCGGCCCTCACTGCTTCAGTGGCCAGTATATAAGTCAGTAACACCTGGCAATAGAGCGAACCCCTTCCTAGAGCCTGGTATTGTTTATTTTTATATGTACAAAGGTATATTGGTTTATGTGGTCAGCCCAAATCGAAGCCACGTCATTGTTTAGACATCGGAATACGGTCATTGCTGTGATACCTACTAGTGATAACACGTGTGTAAGTTCCCAATAACATCTATTTCTTCCGAGAAGCATCAATTCCTGTTACGTTTTGGTCTGGACTGTAAGGTAACCCAGTCTCCGCAATCTCTGACACGAGAAGCATGACAGATTGGTCTGGAGAGATCAGGATTATTAGTAATCAGGACTCTAGTCCATTGTTAATAACGCTGTACTCTACTATATTTTTTATGCAACTTATAATGGCAATCAAACTGACGGCCCACCAGTTGGAAAGTGGTAACCGTTGCCTATAGACATGAGCAGAGTATACTGTTTCGTCCATGACACCCCCCATGCGTTGCCATTTCTGAGAACTAATGAATGTAATCTTTAAAATCCGTCAATCGTTTGGGCCAATGATATTGTTTGGACTACATTTACATTACACATATATAAATATAAAATATATCCACTCACATGTCTGAAGAACATAACCCTCTTTTCTTCAGCTGTAGGGTATAGTATACTCATTAGGAACCATAGTGTATCAATGACATGATCATTTACAGGACCGCGCCGGACAGCTTATTACGTCTTCTAATTCGTACAAGTAGTATCGGTTTTTTAGGATTGAGTCACACTGTTTTACTATCATAAGTATTCTATTTTTTTTTATGCAGCTTAGAATGGCAAACATGCTGACGGTCCACCTGACGGAAAGTGGTAACCGTCGCCTATAGACATGGGCAGTACCATGAGCATAACAGAGTATACTCTTTCGCCTGACACCTCCCATGCGTTGCCATTTCCGAGGACTTGGATATTCCTTTGTACCCTGTAAATTCACTGCCATATCCCACCCTTCAAACCGAAACACAGTCATGCAAACAAAACTGCTTCACGGTAGGAACACGAATGGAGCAGAGGTGCCCAAGCAAACGACTTTAGTACAAAAGTCTCCCTCGGGTATTGAATTTGATATATGTAAGGAGAAGGTGAAGCTGACCTGCTAAGAGTGGCATTTACTGGCAAAACTCTCCTAAGGAGAAAGCCTATGCTTAGCAGTGCATAGTTAACGATTTCTATGGTATGAAGAAAGTGTGGACTGCTGTATGGGAGTTCTTTAAAAAGGGCGTAGTAGGGTTTTTTGGTCGCCATACGCACTTGATACCCTTGATGATGCAGGCGTTCATAGGCTGCAGTGATCGTTTACCATTAGATGGACTGTATGCATGTTTGTTTGCTTTGAGATACAGTGAAACTTGATTAAGTGGGAACTGGATAAATGAGAAACCTCCATAACTGGAACTCATCCTGAGGTCCTAACACTTTGGCACTGGATTACCTCTGTTAGTGGGACGAAGCAAACCTGTATATCTGGAATTCGTTCTTTCGATTTTATAGTCATAATTACTTCTGTAATTGGGACAACATCGATTTATCACCTCTCTAACTTGGTCTATTTTGCATTTCAATTTGTTATTTACTTATTTTATATACAATTTTGATCCTTAATGACCTTCAGTTTTAGTTCTGCTTTACTATAATACCTATGTTTATTTAAAAAATGCCAAAACGAAGACTCAAATCGTTATGGATACGTGAAAAACGAGAGGAAGTGGTTGTTAGTAATACGGATTACCAGTCCCATTGCTAGCAATATACCCTATCAGATCGACCTCCACATGGTTCCTTCAGGAAACCATCGTGCTCAATTTCTGGCACATTCTTCACGGTGGGCTAACAGACCTGCCTTTTCATCTTTGCCCCGCCAGCGTATATCGTTAGCGCAAGGGAAGTACCATTCCATTGTCATCCATAAAAAAAAATACGTGGAAAACTGAGGTTAATATCCGTTTATGAAAGTTGGAAGACACGTGATGAAGACGCAGTGAAGTCTGTTGAACCCTCTGAGAAAAGATACTGATATCTATTTATACCTGGACATCTGAGACACTGGGTAAGTGTAAATACCTCTATCTTCTATTCATTTAAGAGTTTTCTCTTGTCCCCAACCAACAGCGGTAGTGTCAACAGGATGTAGTGGGAATCTTGGTGGGACAAGATTACCTATAAAAAGCTACAAGAATCTTATGACGATACTATGACATGGCGAATAAATGCCACCAGTAAATAAGCATTCCTCTGATATGGGGCAGTAGCCATATCAGTATTGGTAGAAGGCCGAAGAAGAGACTTCTAGAAGGGCTTCTAGTCAGTGATCAGAGGGCCAAATATCGGTCTTTGAACTGCGGTGCAGAAAGCAAGATGGGAAACTATTACACTATAATCCCATAAGTAGCAACCTCTATCAGTGAGACTTATTTACAGGTCTCTTGTTGTCTCACTTAACCAGGTCTCCCTGTATAAACTAAATTAAACTTTGTGTCCCACAAAAACCAACTTTAATTCAGACAGAATCAGTTATTTTGATCTAAAAGCTAAACTGCTAAACCGATTTTGATAAAATTTCTATACGACTAATGTGTAAGTATATCCTTTCAGAAAAAAAAAATTTTTTCAAATGGGTTTAAAACTAAACCTCCTTCTTTATGAAGTTAGTCGAGATAGATTTCAGAAACCGAATTGTTTTTTATACCACGAAAGTGGCATTCATTGGCTTGTCTGATAGTAACGGTCAATGTAGGAGGGAAAGGGATTGTTAGTAATGGAGACTGAGAATCTCATTGCTAGCAATATACCCAACTAGGTCGACCTCCTCGCGGTTCCCCCTGGAAACAATAATTATTATTATATTACCAATTTAAATTTCATTTCCAAGACTAATCTACTTTAATCGTTATTTTCAATGTCACGGTACTAGTTTAGTATTATTATATTAGCTGTGGTCACGGCAAGATGTCTGCCTGGTACAATACGCTGGTTTGCCTTCGCAGCACTATACACTCGTATAAATTTAAGTTACCAGAACAATCTTCTTCCAAGCCCAATTGCTAAAATCAGGTCGGAATCTAATAGTCAGCCAGCTACCATTCGAAAATATTATGTACAAGTGAACAGGAAAAGACGTTTTGAAATGTTTCACCGTATGCATGCGACTTTACCGCGTGAGTGATCAATTTATATTGAAAATATGTACGTTGCACGGCTCCATTGCTTTCCGTCATTATTACGGAAGCATCTTATACTCTTTACATTTATTTTTCATCAACTTTAAAAAAAAGTCTATAAGGTATAGATCACTTAACTATGGTATAAGCTTATTTTTTTCGGATGTATTTGTTAATTATAAACCGATTTTGATAATTCTTTTTTGCAATTATATTCGTGTAGAGCATCATAATTTCAAATTTGATCTGTTACGATGTAAAATCTCTTTCTCACATTCGTGTTCTAAATTTAAATTAAACACAAATTTAAAGATACCTTTTATCAGTGTATTAGAATGGTGATGAATAATGATCGAAGTTGATTTTTTTGTGTAATAAAATTTGAAATTTTGCTTACCGATTGTTACATTTTGTTTCCGTAACAATTTTGGGAAATACTTTTTTAATATACACTATCTGAATAACTTGAATTAAGTTGTCGATGAGTATGTATACCCGGGACGAGTTGTCCGTACGGGTAAGTCCAACTTCGAACAAGAGGACACTAGATGGAGCGACGACCTGAAATACACTGCAGGAAGTCAGTGGATGCAGCTGGCTCAAGACTGTTCTTTATGGCAATCTATGGGGGAGGCTTATGTCCTGACGGACAGACTGACGGTGCAATTAATGGATAATGGCTGAAATGATGATGACGAATGATGATGATCTTAATAACTAGGTTTTTTTTATACAATTTAGAATGGCAAACAAGCTGACGGCCCACCTGATGGAAAGTGGTAACCGTCGCCTATAGACATGAGCAGTACCATGGACATAACAGAGTATATCTACTGTTTAGGTTATTTTCAATTGAGAATATTTATATTTTTAGCCATGTACTTTTATGTCTCTTCGACTGTCATAACATAATAAATTCATCGCTATCTTAATGATTAAATTCCGTTTAATTTGATATTTTCACAGAATAAAGATAAGTGGTTATCTTTATTCAAGTGGTTAAATCTATTTATATACCTAATCTAAGGATACCCACGTAACTACGTACTCTATATCGTGTCCTATGTGTACGGAAATCCTAACACATTTTGCAATCCAGTCTATTTAATTAATCATGTATTTACTCACTTGAATTCAAATATTTTCGTATTTCGTACAGGTAATAAAAGAATACAAAAATTATTTTATATACCGATTTGTAATAATAATGTATCGTATCATAATCCAATTATCCGCATGTGCAGAAAATATAACAATGTATGCAAGGAGCTTGATATTTTGCAACAATCCTTGCAATGTTACATTAAGGCTGCCAATTTATATCGAATGTTATGCGGAGCAGTTGTTGGAGTGCAAATTTAATGCCGTTTTATGTAATATTTATTTTATAAATGTATTAATTTGTAATCTGTTGCCTTGCTATAAATAAATAAATATATGTAAGAGTTTTTCTTTTTTTATAACTATTATTGGTTATTTTTTACACTGTCAATCAATCAAGCATTTATTTTGTGAATAATAGGTACAAATTCTGTTTATCTATTGTGTATATGTTCAAGCCAAGTCCCTTGAGACAAGGGATTGTTAGCAATGCGAACTACCAGTCCCATTGCTAGCAATAAACCCTGGCAGGTCAATCTCTACATGATCCCCCCTGGAAAACATCGTCTTGAATTCCAGGTGCATTCATCACGAGGGGCCAACTGACCTGCCTTTTCATTCTCACCTATCATCCGTCATTGGTACTCAACCAGCGTATACCATTAGCGCAGGCGGGTTTACCATTTCATTATCATTAATAAAAAAAAACCAAGTCCCTTACTTGTAGGCAAAAATAATCTAATGTCAAATCTTCTATCCTTACATTCATCTCTTACTACCTGCATTATCATTATAAGATTAATTACTAATCGTGCCGTGTAAAGTAAAACCGGTTATAATGTAATCACGAATAATTTCTCGAAATAAACAAGTACAACGCGAACGCGGCCTCTCATACATGTACCTTGGTCGTCAGAAATAAAACCATTTGATACCTAACTCCCAAGCACTCTTATTACCGCGTATCAAGCACTATATTACCATAACACAAGTGTAAATCAACTTGCTGATTGTTGTTCGAAGATAATAAATAAAATATCTGTTAGTATTCACGCAGTATCGCACTATAGACAACGTTAGTGCCCGCCATTCTAAATACAAATCGGTGATATTCAATTAAAATTAGGCGTAGACAATGTAAGTTGTTTTTTTTTATTTTTTATCAACACAGATTAGTTTGCAATTGTTTTCTATGATGTTCTATCGCAGATTATTTAAAAAAAAATCGTGTGTTCAGAAAATGTAGTTTAAATATTGCCTTGGTCTTCATTCTAGCTATTATTACAAATATGACTTGATTAACATAAATAAACCTGTATCTAGCATGGACATAATTTATATGGTAGATTTGTAACTATATAATAATTTTGGTTTATCTTAGCGCCCTAGGTCAGTAGGTATATTGTTTAAATAATAAATATCATTGTTTTGTACTTAATTTAATATTAAACCTTGTTATTTTATAATTAAATGGAACTATTGGATTTTTATTGTTATCATTTTTTGTTATGATAATTCTACCAATTAAATAGATATATGTATTTACATTATTTACTAGCTTTTGATCGCGACTTCATCCGCGTGGCCGGATATGTTTACTGACCGGCATAAAAAATTATAAATAACCTAGTCATTCAAATAGTGTATATTAAAAAAGTATTTCCCAAAATTGTTACGGGAACAAAATGTAATAATCGGTAGGCAATATATAAAATTTTATTGTAAAACAAATCAACTTCGATCATCATTCATCACTGACAGTTGGTATCTTTAATTTAGTGTTTAATTTATCGGATGGAGGCTTTGTACGAAAATCGTTAGCTTGGGCACCTCTGTCCCATTCGTGTTTCTACCGTGAAGCAGTTGTGTTTGCATGGCTGTGTTTCGGTTGGAAGGGTGGGATATGACAGTGAAATTACAGGGTACAGAGGAATAACACCTGAGTCCTCAGGAATGGCAACGCATGGGGGGTATCATGGGCGAAACAGTACACTCTGTTATGTCCATGGTACTGCTCATGCCTATAGGCGACGGTTACCACTTTCCATCAGGTGAGCCGTTAGCTTGTTTGCCATTCTAAGTTGTATAAAAAAAAGTGTATGTATTTCAGGTCCTACGTGAGGCCCTCCAATGTCCCGCTGGGACAAATATGGAGTCGCTTCAAAGGGATAGAGAAAGACGGAAAGCCACCAAAAATGTAAGTTTTAAATAGTACATTCACGTTTCAAGTTCTCAATGCTGTAACACACGGCTTTCCCCGCGAAATAATTAGAAGTAGTCCTATTTATTATTGTGCGGGTAGGAAAGAATTTTGACATTCTGCTCACATTAATCAGGTACCAGATACGAGATATGGAAGAGAAATGGCGAACACAATGCCTAGATTTCATGCAGGAGGTGTTCCTGAGAGACGAGCCTCTGTCTAAAGCTTTAGGTAAGAAATTCAACCCTATTAAATGGGTCTATTTCTGTGTCGAAGTGTTTAAACATAATAGAAAAAAAAAACAAGAAAGAAATATTTATTAATGCTTAATTGTACACTTAATTATAAAAAAACTTAATTATAAATATTATAAAAATTAACAAAAAGAAAAGAAAAAGCACTAAATTGGTGTCACTCAGCCATATGCCATGTCCTTTTAGACAAAATATTAAGCAACTTCTAAAATAAACTGTCAATTTGGATGCATTTTCATTTTTACCATATCGCCAATTCTGAACCGATTTTAACTAGTCTTTTTACAATGGGCAGGGTTTGCTCTCATGTGTTACGATAATTAAAGCTTTCGTTTTTATTTGCAGCGTAAAAAACGGCTTGTTACGAAATGAAATTTATTTTTAGACCTAATTTCAATATTTTTCAGTGACCTCTCCATACTAATTTACGAAATATCTCGTATCATCATCATCACCATCACCATCAACATTGATGTGTGCATGTTCGCGATTATTTATTTTCAACTTGCTTTTTTGCAAAACAACATATTCCTATACTTATAGTACTTGTAGTGATACGCAAGCGAGTTGGTTAAACACTAATTTATTCATTGAAAGATTATGTAAAAGAAATTTTTACCGGCCAGTATTTACAAAATTATCAGTGGCCAGTACGTGAATATAATATACTACAGTTGTTTAAAATCTCATTTTAGATGTAAAATCCGATCCATTATCAATAAAAACGATCAGAAAAAACTGGGAGATGTTTCTGGACCAAAAGGTGAGCCTGGCCTGCTTCATGGAGGACGAGGATGGCAACCCTGACGAGCTGGTCGGATTTAATATCATCATCATCAGAACGATAGACGAGCCAGACTCCGAGTTTAAACACGTAAGGCTGTAGACGTATTAAAAGCCCGTCGTTTGCAAGATGTTCCTACAAGATCTGAGGACTGGCAAAAATGTTGTATTTGAAATACAAACTGTGTATATTAAATTATTTTATATTATCCACATGAGACAATTGCAATCTGATTTTTATGTTTTTTTTTTTCCATCGAAAGTGTTAATCCATATTTTTTTATGCAACTTAGAATGGCAAACAAGAGACGGCCCACTTGATGGAAAGTGGTAACCGTCGCCTATAGACATGAGCAGTACCATAGACGTAACAGAGTATACTGTTTCGCCCATGGTACCCCCCATGCGATGCCATTCCTGAGAGGTGTTATTCCTCTGTACCCTGTAAATTTACTGCCTTATCCCGCCCTTCAAACCGAAACACAGCCATGCAAACACAACTGCTTCACGGTTGAAACACGAATGGGGCAGAGGTACCCAAGCAATCGACTTTCAACTATTAAATTCCCTTAGTTGCCTCTAATGACACCCAATCCCTTTATATAGTATAAAAAAATGTCTCCAGGAAGAGGGCGAGTCCTGGAACAAGCTGATGAGGACGCTTGTGGAAGCTGAGAACCTGGTCAACGTGTTTACATACTATGATGTAAATTCGTACCTGTCTTCAAGCGGCCTGACGGTGCTGCCCGGACACAGAGGACAAAATATAGGCGCTAGGATGTTCGCTGCCAGGTGATTATATGTAGTAATAATTTATTTAAATCAAACATCATCATCATCATCATGTCAGCTTTTTATTTATTTAACACTTTATTGCACCAACATAACATGATTTGTTAAACAATTTTCAATACGTATAGTGTAGTACAAAAGGCGGTCTTATTGCTAAGCAATCTCTTCCAGACAACAAATTATCCACTGCTCAACATAGACTTCCCCATTTAATGGGGGTTTGGCCATCAATTGCCACACTTGGCATGCCGATTGGCAACCGCAGTTGAGTTTAATACATGATTTACCACTCCCCATGACCGTACATTAGGTACTTTTAATTTGGTCAAATGTAAGATAATGCAGTACTAATACCTTGTTGTGGGGGGAAAGGGATTGTTAGTAATGGAGACTGAGAATCCCATTGCTAGCAATATACCCAGCCAGGTCGACCTCCTCGCGGTTCCCCCTGGAAACTATCATGGTTAATTTCTGATAAATTCATCATGATGGGCTAACTGGCCTGTTTTCATTCTCATCGATCACCCTTCACTGGTGCTCCGCCAGCGTATTCCGTTAGCGCAGGCGGGGTTACTATACCATTTTCACCCATAAAAAAAACTACCTTGTTATTGAGGGGAAAGGATTGTTAGTTATAGTCCGTATCAGCCCCATTGCTAGCAATATACCCTATCAGATTAATCTCCACCCGGTTCCCCCTGGAATCCATCGTGCTGAATTCCAGGTGTATTCATCACGGTGGGCTAACTGACCTGCTTTTCCATTCTCACCTATCATCCCTCACTGGTGCCCCGCCAGCGTATACCTTTAGCGCAGGGCGGGGTTACCATTCCATTATCATCTATTGAAAAATACCTTATTATTAACTATTTTCAACCGACTTGAAAAAAAGGAGCTGCTCAATTCGGTTGTATTTTTTTATGTTTGTTACCTCAAACTCCGTCAGTTGTAAACCGATTTGGATAAATTATTTCTTATCGGAAAGATATATAAATATAAATATATCCTGTAAAATTTTTATCAAAATCGGTTCAGTGCTTTAGTTTTTAATGAAATGAATGAAATTAAATGAAATGACATGGCATGGCATGACATGACATGATATGAAATTAAATGAAATTAAATTAAAACAAAATAATTCGTTTTTCTATAACCAAAGTAATTTTTTTGTGAAACACAATTTTAATTATTTGTAGTTGACATATTTAATTCCAGGGAGCCCCTGTGCAGGGCTTTAGGCGTGAAAGCGTCGTGTACCGTGTACACGGCGACCGCGTCGCAAGTTTTAGCAGCCAAGTGTGGGTACGAGGTGCTGGCGACACTCCACTACAAGGATATGATGAAGTACGGAATCGACCTGAGCACGTCGGAGTGTCCCCGCGCCGAAGTCATGGGAATCAAGTTTGATTTTTAAAACAATTCCAAAGGTAGTCATTGCACTGCATTCTGTGATATCCACGGTGCTGTTCATGTACAAAGTGTCAGTTAGCCCATTCTGACGATATCGACTAGAATTAACCACGATGGTTTCCAGGGGGAACCTGGAACGTGGAGGTCGATCTGACAGGCTAGTTATGAGGCTATTTGACCCCATTACTAACAATCCCTTACCCGCCAGACTTTGATGTTAGAAGCGCCGACAGATTGAGGTAACGGCGCGTTGATATCCTTCTTCCGAGATGAAGGAGGTATAAGATGAGGCGGGTCGTATGATGGATCGCCATTTCATGTTGCATGTTTCTACCACAGCGTTGTTAATATATGTTTATAGTTTTAGAACCTAAGAACGCCATCGTTAGCTGTAACTAGAACTTATTTGTAAATAAATAGATAATATTTTCTTATGAAGTATGCAATTTTTAATGTATTAATAAAAATATATTTTAATATTAATACTTTTATAAATTTATCCTTTATTTTGAGTGTTATATGTCATATATATATATATATATATATATATATATATATATATATATATATATATATATATATATATATATAACAACAGGTTAATAACGAAGTTAACAAAAGCGAAGTTATCTCTAAAAGAGATTTCTTTAAGTCAACCTAATTTAACAATAAATAAACAGAGGGCCTACCATGAAATGTTTTCCGAAATTTCGGAGCCAAACGAAACAGAAATTTGATGTTAAAATTACATAATACATGCCGTTTGGAAATATTAAAAATATGAAAATATTATTCCTTTGGACTTTTATGGTAGGATGTATGACGAACGAAATGTTAAGCTCCATTTACTGGTCCGATTTAGGTGTGAACAAAAACACGAAATTGAGTCCGAAACTTCGGAATTTTATTTCATGGTAGACCCGCTGATATGTAGGTACTATTTACTGGTAAAGGCTTTTACATCGTGTTAAGTCCCGACTGTGTATTTAAAATATGTTTAAAATATTGGGATTAGTTCGATCCTATTAAATTAAAACACAAAATAGCTTATATTCTGTTTTATTAATATGTCTTTTAATATACTATATTATTATAAATGCTGTGAAAATCACTATAAAATACATCGTATCAGAAGTATAAAATATTCGTGTATACAATGGTAAGTAAAAAATTTTTTTATTAATACAATAAATGGCAGACAATTCAAACACGCTTCCCAGCTCACAAAATATTCAACTACTTTATGTATTTTTTTATTTTTGATGCATAATGGAGTGGTAACTCTACCTCCGCTAAAGGTATATGCTGGTGGGGCACCACGGAAGTACATTTTTTGTGGGACATCATTCATCGTCTCATTTCAGCCATTATCCGTTCACTGCTGGACATGGGCCTCCCCCATAGGAAGCCATAACAGTCCTAAGCCACCTGCATCTACTGAATCCCTACAATGCATTTGAGGTCATCACCATGTCATGACCATCTAGTGGGGGGGTCGGTCTACACTAAGTTCGGCCGTACGGGGTCGCCACTCACTACTATATGCCACTATTTGTGGAACATGTTCTTAATTAATTTGAAGTCGCTTAATAAAAATGGCGTAGAAATTTTTCACAATAGAGGGCGGAGACTGTCACAACGTGTAGAGTAGCCAAATCGACGATCGAGACCATAGGACCATAGAATTGCGCACTAAATGTTACTCTATACGTAAATTATTACTGTGTACAAGTTAAACAGTAATAAAAAAACATACCCAAATTATTTGTCAGAAACGGCCAGTATCTACAGACATTTTAACCTAAATTTATTATATTTACCTTTTTTTTTATAATTTATACTTATACAATTTACAATTAAGCTTCAATAATGGAATGACTTATAAAAGCACACTCATTAAAATTTTCCAATACAAAACCCTTAGATTATATAGATACAGTGTCTCCATACAAATGCTTCGAGAAAAGCGGTTCAACTTTTTCACACAATTTCGCGTGATAAATAGTTATGAGCGATTCCTTTATAACTTCTATATTTATTTTGTCTTATAATTTCTGCATCTTTTTAATACGTAAACCTCATTTTAATTTATTAAATAATTAAATATAGATACGTCAGGATACATTATGTGCGTAAGTATATAGAACACTGACAAAAAAAACGAGTCAGCTAATTTGACAATTAACTGACAAAAACTTGACGCAGTTTTGACACTCGATTCTCTATCTATATAATTTCAGATAAGACCAAAGAATTTAATTATTACTTAATAAATTTTTAAATTTATAACTTTTTTTTTTTCAATAAATATCCTCTTAGATATGATATTAAAATATAAAAATTATTAAGCGATTGAAAAATTTCGAAGCGTGATTTGACCCCACACCTGCGCTACGCCGGGGCCAGTGTACTACGTATTCTTTAGTTTACACTTAAAACAAAATGTTCCTTGGCATTTTACAACTGAAATATAATTTATTGTCATTATATTAACGCCAAATATATTATTACAATACGTAAATACGCCACTCGCGAGTTCGCTTCAGACATATACTCAAATAACAACTCACGCTTTGCTATTTGAAATAAAACTGTACGCAGACGTAATTATCTGTATGCAGACATTGGAGTCGACTCTAGAGCACCATTCTCTATATTTATAATTAAAATTTCAAATTCAAACCATTTCTTCAAAAGTCGGGTAAAGAGGATTCTTAAGGGTCGGCGACGTGCACATAAAACCTTTGGTATTGCAGGCGCTCAAAGGCCACGGTAACCACTTACCATCAGGTAGGCCGTATGCTTGTTTGCCACCTCAGTGGTATAAAAAAATCATTGCACGTACATCATAGGTACATACACTATTAACAATCTTGTCAGTTTTTTTAATACAAAAGAACACATAAAATAATACCATAGATACGTCAAAGTTGTGGAGAACTGGTGCCTGAACTGGGTATCCGAAGAACCCGTATCACAAGTCACCGCATTAGATGAAAATATTTTTTTTAATAAATCCATTATTTCACATTTGTAACTCCATTCAATTCGATACTACAGCGAAATGATTACCTAAGCACTAGTATAAATCTAGCAGAATGACGTCAGAACTGCTTTAAACGCCATTTTCGATGGCCCATATTTTTTTTTAAGGCGAAGACAAACAAGCATGCGGCTCACCTGATCGTAAGTGATTACCACGGCCTATAGGCACCATCAGAAAAATAGCAGGCACATAGTGTATTTTAAAGATAATTGTAGGATAAGTTGTAAGGGAATGTCTAAGAATCGACTCCATTATTTGGATACTATTAAAGTCGCATTTAATTATAAAAAATAATATAACATTCCAATACAATTACAGTACCTGTAAATAATTTCTTTATTAGGTCGTGTGCACACTGCACACTGTGATACATTCATTTAGTTATACAAATAGAGACATACACATACACACCACATACATTACACACATAATATGGCTATATATATATATATATATATATATATATATATATATATATATATATATATATATATATATATATATATATATATATATATATATATAAATTGTCACAAAATCTTACACTAGGTATGTTTGTTTGTGTGCATTTGTCATTAAAGTTTTTAGAACAAATTAGATTTCATTGATATGTGAACTTTATCAGGGAGAATTTTAGAGCGGCCTGTTAACAGTAAAATAAAAACTATAACGTTAAAGTTTAACTGCAAATTTATAGTAAAGATTCACCGCCTTATTCATAAATACTACAAACATCTACAAACCTATTTTAACTATTAGTATTTTGTCACTAGCCGTGTGGTCCCGGCATAGAATAGGCATTCTGGAATGGCAACGCATGGGGTGTATCATGGGCGAAACAGTATACTCTGTTTCGCCCATGATACCCCCTATGCGTTGCATTCCTGGGGACTCAGGTGTTATTCCTCTGTACCCTGTAAATTCACGCCACATCCCACCCTTCAAACCGAAACACAGCCATGCAAACACGACTGCTTCACGGTTGAAACACGAATGGGACAGAGGTACCCAAGCAATCGACTTTTGTACAAAGTCTCCCTCTGGTAAATTACATACACACTCTGATGTTACATATACTATTATATAATTTTCGGTAGGAACGCATCACTTTACAATACCTTTAATACCTTTTCTAATACATATACCAAAAAAGATTCTAAATTAAAAGTAAATATTTTAAGATTTCATCAAAAATCAATTTATGTTTCTCTATATTAACTTTACACTATTGCTTCTGAAATATTAGTGCTGTATACCCTTTAGTAAAATTGGACGTGATGTTTGAACGTTTAAAAATTATTCAAAATATAATTCATTACAAATATGCTACACAATGTATGTGTACAAAAAAACAAATTAATATGTTATTAATAAAAATATTTATAACACTTTTATAACAAGCTTTGGTTTAGTACATCCGTGACATTTTAGTCATTTAAAAATAAAATACAAAAAAAATTGTAAAAAAGAAAAATATATATATGCAACACTAGATTTATGCTTTACTGTAAGAGTATTATATAAAATAAATTAAATAAAGTAAGCTATAATTATAATCTGTAGTGTATGGAAGAAAAAATATATTTTTTATAAAAAAAAAACCTCACGAAATCTCATTTCGAATAGAGATATTTTATGTTGTTGGAATTGACAAACAGCTCGCCTGATGGTAAGGGATTATCATCCATAAAAATAAGCACAACGTGAGCAACATTATAGATGTCACAGTATATACTATGCCACCCTTGGATATCATGCTTTTAAATCAGGAATATAAATGTAATTCTAAACATGTTATTTATCTTTGTTGACCAATATAAAAATATTGTATGGTGAATTTCTTGCAGTTCCCTTCAAAATGGCGGCAAAATCATGGAGAATAGTTGGTGGATACCACTTTTCATCAGGTGAACTGTCAGCTAGTTTGTCATTATATAAATATACAACTGACACTGGCCAGTTAGAATTTAGACTGGAAGTAATTTTGGTGTTTAGTTTTATACAATAAAATGATCATTTATGAGTACATTTGTATATCTATCTTACTCTATCTTTTAAGCTTCTCGTTCAACCAGTCTGCGGTCAATTCATCTATCTCCCTCACTTCTAACAGGCGGGGGGCACCGACTGCCGCTGCTAGCGCCCTCTGTGTTCCCGCATACATTACCTGAAAGTTTTTTTTTTTTTTGTATATTTAATCCACTTAAGATATAGATGAAATAATTAATAATTGGCTGATAATGAAGTTATTTTTATTTTATAAATAAATATATATATACGGACAAAATCACACAGATTGAGCTAGCCCCAAAGTAAGTTCGAGACTTGTGTTATGGGATATTAACTCAACGATACTATATTTATAATAGATACATATATAGATAAACATCCAAGACCCAGGCCAATCAGGAAAAGATCGTTTTCCATCATGACCTGGCCGGGGATCGAACCCGGGGCCTCCACGTCGCAGGCAGGCATGTTGACCGCTGCGCCACGGAGGACGACATTCCTATCTATAGTTCCATTACATTTATAACTGTTTTACCAGAGTGAGACTTTGTACAAAAGACGACTGCTTGGGTACCTCTGTCCCATTCGTGTTTCAACCGTGAAGCAGTTGTGTTTGCATGGCTGTGTTTCGGTTAGAAGGGTGGGATATGGCGTGAATTTACTGGGTACAGAAGAATAACACCTGAGTCCTCAGGAATGGCAACGCATGGGGCGTATCATGGGCGAAACAGTATATTCTGTTATGTGCATGGTACTGCTCATGTGTATAGGCGACGGTTACCACTTTCCATCAGGTGGACCGTCAGCTTGTTTGCCATTCTAAGTTGTATAAAAAAAAACTGACTTTAGAAAACGTGAAAGAATATTTCAGAAACTTTGAACCATGTTGTTTTATGGGTGCTTCATGGTTTTGTGTGAAATATTAGTTCTATTGTTACCTGTAATTCCATGTGTGCATCCCTGGGAGTGTAGAATATGAAACACATCGGGAATGATGTCCTGCCGTCATTGTGTTCCATCTTGTAACTGAAAAGAAAAAAGCCCTCAACTACTTGATATTTTTGCTAATACTGAATCCATTTTGTTGATATTTTAATTGTAAAAAACAAATGGACTTGACTTGTGTGTATATTTTTGTCGGGAATGTTACACCAGTTTCGGGACCAGTCAGGATTCTAAATCGTGACCGGGGGTGACGCTAAGCAAGCCTGATGCGATCGCCCCAAAACTTTTTTTTTATACCACTGAGGTGGCAAACAAGCATACAGCTCACCTGATGGTAAGCGGTTACCGTAGCCTATGAACGCCTGCAATACCAGACGTATTACGCGCGCGTTGCCGACCCTGAAGAAACCTTTTTACCCCCCTTTTGAAGAACCCCATGCTGTAGTCTCTTGGGAAAACCTCGGCAGGGAGCTCATTCATTTTGCAGCAAATTTTGGATTTAAATAATTTTGGAGCAAAACTGGTTGAGCAATCCCTTTTCATTAAGACAATAATACATGTAGGCCAATCCTGTTTTCTCTTCATCCTCACCTATCATCACTCATCGGTATCCCACTAATGTATACTGATGGCATAGGCGGGGTTCTATTATTATCCATTAAGAAAAATCCTGTTTTCTGGGGGAGAAGAGATTGTTAGCAATGAAAATTTGCAACCCCATTGCTAGCAAAATACCCTATCAGGTAGACCTCTGCACAGTTCCTCCTGAAAACCATTGTAGTTTTGATGATCTACATATCATCATGATGGACCAACTAACCTGCTTCATCATCACGTATCTTCCCTATCTGGTGCTCCATCAGCATATACCGATAGTGCAGGCAGGGTTACTATTCCATTATCACCCATTAAAAAATCCTGATTTCTTACAGTTAAAATATGTACTTACAAAACAATATGATTTCAATAATTCCTTTTTTAATAGATAGTATGTTGGTTTCATATTAAAGCGTTTCCTTCTTATCAAAGTTCTCAATTGGGTTATATTTTTTTTATAACACAGGGGGGGCAAACGGGCATACGGCTCACCTGATGGTAAGTGACTACCTTACTAACCTACAACACCAGAGGAATTGCAGGTGTGCTGCCTGTTCAAAATTAACCTTTTTATATACTCTGACAATTGTAGTTTTTTATAAAAAAGAAAGTTGATAAACATTTGAAATACAATAAAATATATATACAATACATCAAGTTAACAGACGGCAATTTTACTTACAAATAATATAATATAAATATTAATATATAACAACAAGGACCAGTATATTTTATAAACACTGCCAATAAAGAGTCAGGGAACTCATTTTGATGTAATGGTAACAAAAATGTGTTTGGCTACCTGTACACAATGAACCTGGGCTGGTGCGAGGGCAGTATGTCCTGCAACTCTTCTAGCTCAACATTCTCTAATTCTTCCTCCACTTCCAGAGCCTGCTTTTCTCTGTTTACCTGTAACATTGTAAATTAATATTTTTATTCAAAGCTGGTATCCTACATGTCAACCATTTAATTCCAAAAGATTTAAGACCTACAATAGGGACAAAATTAAAATAAATTGAATTAAATATTAACATGCCAGTAATCCTTACCAAATAGCAATTGACAAGGATTATCCAAAAATAATTATCAAAATTGGTTTTAAGATTGGTAAAGATATTCCATAACATATAAATATGTACATGAAAATTATTTATTTTTGAATTTTTAACATGTTGAGCCCGGCGCCGAATTTGCTGTCCTTTCCGTTCAGCCGACAGCCGGCGAGAGATACAATGTTGTATGCTATCGCCAAGAGATTACTTTAGTACTAATGAGATAAGGAATTCTTTGTCGCGCTATTTTGGACATTTTGAACGAAAGACAGCTACCAAAATTACCAAAAAAGTTGTTACGTATTGTAATATGTGTAAAGATAAACCGCATTTTTGTTTAGAATGTTTCAATAAATTTCATAAAAAATTAATTTGATCACATTTCATTGAGACTTATTTTATTTTTTAACTTTAATACTGTCAGTCCCATAAACCAACGCCAGCCAAACGAAAATTCTAGTGCCGGTCCTCAGGGACCGTTGCTGGCCACACATAAAGCCACACGGGAAAGTTTGCTGAAGGTCCCTAGGGACCAGCGCCGGGCCCAACGTGTTAAGTGACCAAAACTTGTGGTTTTACACTAAACTAATTTTCACAATTTATTGTCCTTTTTACACTCCATCTTCTACATAATACATACATAAGGAATAAAGCATTTTCTAATATGTTTAAGATTGTTAACTTTATATTAATTTAGTGAAGATTAAGTCTATTTTACCTAATGTTATAACTTTTGTACATGATTAGTAAATAAGTATTTCTTAATAATTTGATATATCTATACAGCAATGTAAGCCACTGATAATAATAGGAAATCAGCATGCAGGACGTGGGTTGACTCATAAGCAGATAAAATTTACTGCATTTTATAAAAGGAAAATGTGCACAATAATTAGTTCTGACTCATATTAGCTATTGCAGGAATATATTTGCTTAATAGCCACACTAACAAATCACCTCACATATGTATGGCTTTTTTTTTTAAATAATATTATCAATTACAAGGATCAGGAAGCATTAGTTTCTCTCATTTCAAAAGACGATATCCAAGGACTGGTAAAAAGATTTACAGACAGAGACCAAGAGCTGATTAATGGATTGGCCTCATTATATAATAAGAAAATTTAAACCTGACATCCAAACAGCAAATTAGATTATTCTTCTATAAGGAACAAATTGCCAATTATCAGATTAGAAAAGGAAAAAAAAATACAGTTTATGTTACTGATATTGAAGTTTTCTATAAGTAAGAGAATTTTAAAACTGTGTAAGTAAGTTTTTAATTTATCCAAATGTTGATGTTTCTCGACCCACCAGTTTCGAACAGGGGTAGCAATCTGCAGTTCGCGAGCCATATATAGCTTTTAAGATGTGAAATTGCAGCTCTTTAGTTCCATACACAAATATTATTTTATAAAAAAAAAATTAAAAATCATACTGAATCCAGTAATGTGAAGTAGGCACCAAATTTTATTTATGCAAGTACTATTTATTGTTAGCAAAAAAATTTTTGCATCTCTTTAAAAACTTTGAAATTTTATAAATTGTAATTTTTTATTTTTCTGACTCAAAACGTTGCCGACCCCTAGTCCTTAGATAAGTTGTGTTGCATTGATTTAGCCAGACATTTTTTTCTAGAGAGACAGTTGATTATCCTCCACAAACTTTCTATTTCAATAAATGTGATAACCATGCAAGTCAAATTTTCAAAGAAAGTAAACAATTTTCTAAGATGGGCAAGTTTTGACTGTGCCCCCCTCACGTTACAGCCATGAGTGTATTACCTGCTGGACATTGTTAAGAGTTTACAACCAATTTCTATATATATCTTAATAAATTAAATTCTCAAATTTGATTAAATTGATAAATAAACTTAAAAAAATATTAAACCCGTAAGTGTTATTGTATTGCATAGTTTTGTTATTTGCACCATAGAACATGTGTATCTTCAAGCTAAGTACATAAAAGGGCAAGCACTCTCTTATGAACTTCCTGGCATAAACGATTAGTACTTATGCATTTTTATTATCTGTTTTTTAATTAAGATTTTATGTAGCAGGGTTTTATAGTTACAAAAATGAACAGTATTAAACTAGTCATGCGTAAACTTACACTGAAGCGAAACCAAATGTCTAAGTCTGCATAATATCAATCAATCTCACCTTTAATATTAATGCAGAATTGCTGCTGTGCTTTTGGAAACGGAATTTCTTTAATACTTCCCTAACATCGTCACCTATATCACACACGTTTACATTTTGTGCAGACATTATTTTTATTTTAAATAAATAAGTTCACAAATTAAAATCAATAACAACGAAAATAATAATAGTTTTCGTGTTTCGTCTGCTGGGAATAGTGCTGTTTAATAGTAGTAAATCGATTATAATCGAATTTGTCGCTTAGGGATTCAAATTGTCTAATAATCAATAATCGAATTAGTATTATTACTATATATTAAATTTTAAATGTAATCGGTAAAATTAATTACTATAAGATTAGTAATGCTATTATTTATTTATATATTACATAGTGGATAATTATATTAAATAAAAGTGTACAGTCATGAATACCATGTTATTTATATTTAATTATTAAATTATAATAAAGCGAATGAACAGTGGCATCTGGCATATCGATAATATTTATATAATTTGCCAAGCAATATTAGGATTATTAAAGGGAGAAGGTAAATATTTCTGATTAATTCATAATCGATGAAATGAGAAGAGACAAAGTAAAAAAACACGAGAGTGCATCATGCATTATTTGTAACACCATCACGTTTTTAAATTGATTTAAATTATTTATATGCTTGAATTATTAAGTCAAAATTATTAGATATATGGATGATGACGATCTTTTGATGATAAATGATTATTATGTATCACTATAATGTAGATCACAGAGAATAAACAGTATTGAAGTTTGAAGTTACTCTTCTTAATCTATGTACTTAAATCAATTCAGAATTATAAATGAAATTTAAATGTTAGAATACGACGTGGTGCAATTCATGTCGAAACGTTTGTAATAAATGAAGCAGGGATATAGGAACTATTTACTTGTAAAGGTTTTTACATAGCGTTAAGTGCCGATTGTGTATTTAAAATACTTATATCCTTACATATAATTTCAATGGTGTAGATTAAAATTGCTTTTCAGAATCGACCTTAAGCCGACACCGTCAATGTCAAAATTGTGAAGTCTACTGTCAAACTTTTTTGACAATATGACCCCTTTATGAAAAAGTGTTTTTTCATTATACCATTTTTCACTAAAAAATATAGTTTTACAAAATATTTTTTCTTGAAAAAGTAATTCTTAATGATATATCATTTATTTTAGAATCATCTCCTGCGTCTGTGTACTTTTGCTGTTTAGCATTTCATTTTAATTGACTTTAGAAAGTTGCGACCATGAAAGACTTTTGTTATTAATTTGTTCTGTGTGTTTGTCTTGTTTTATGAGAGTGTTAGGCGTTCTAATTAAAGGTCATTAGTATATATTGTCGCCGGTAAGCGCTCTTAGTGTAATATTTAGCTATTAAATATTAATTGCATTAATTTATTGTTGAACTTTAGTTTACGTAAGTTACTGTATTATCTTTAACATCTAGTCATTAGATTTGTCTATAGTGCACGGTCTTTTCAAAAAGCATAATATTTATTAATATAATTTTGTAATTATACTGGTATGAAATTTGTATGGAATTGCAGTGTAAGTTAAGATGGTACACATGCAAAATTAAATAATTAATTATACAAGTACCATACATATGTAGACCAATTATTTATGATTATATAGACCTAAGGGGAAGTCTTTGAAACTGATATATATGTGTCAGACAGACTATACAAGTTTCTGAATAAAAGAAATAAGAATAAAATCTGTGATGATTAATTTACTCTGCCTGTCCCTTGTTAGTTACTGTATTCATGTAATAGCCAGTGGAAAATATACTACTATTATTTACTTTTAGAGATAATTGAATTATAATATCCTTTGCAACATGTAATAGTTATTAAACAGTTCGCTTTTGATTACCCTATTTGTTATTACAATTAGTAAAATATTTGGTTTGATTAAATTCATTTCACTTGAAATGGATAATATCTTTTGTCCTGTAACTGGCTACCTCTTCTAATCTATCTACCCTACATTATGTTGCTACTTCAGTCAAAGTGTTTTATCAAAACACTCGCAAATTCATGCTATCAAAGTGTTGACTATGAAAATGATTGATAACATACATAATTTTATAGGTTTGCTGGCCTGAATATGAATTGGATGACAGCTGTTGAGGAAACATATAGAATATTCAAGATACTCAAATAGTAAGATGGCTCATATGTGTAAGTATTTCTTTAACTAATTAAAAAAAAAAGAGTCCAGAATCAATTATTTTTTCATGTTTGTTTATTACATTGATTTTGATGCTTCTGTTAACGATCAGTAGGGTTCACTAATTCCGCCTTGATTGTAGTCTGTTATGAAATAATTTTGTTTATTTATGATAGTGTTGAAAGATACATGATCTGTATTGAAATATTTCATCTTCTCAATAATAATCAAATAGCTGAGGGATATAGGTTTGATTCCTGTCAGAAAAATTATAAATAATTACCTACTTTTTTTTTTTTATAAATGTACACTTACAAAAATTACTATTATAATATTACATATATGCCTCTGGCAACTACATCTATTGGATATTAGATTTATATATTTTCTTTTTTTAATTAAACAATTTTTATTTGCAGATGAAGGCACTGAAATGCTGGAGAAAAATAAACGGTAAGTGCCTGTATATTTCATATTATTTAATTTTAATACATACATACATACATATGTGTCAATTAGTGTAGGCATGGATAAAAATGCTTCGATTCAAACAAACCTATTATATAATTCATATAAATATTATATATTAAGTTGACCATATTAAATTGATTGTATGCAAAAAGAAAAATGGGGTTTTCCTACATAACTTTTCCAATTTTTTCTTCATTAAAACTCTTCATCAGCCATTAACAAATATTTGAAAAAAAAATATATAGCCGAATTGGTTTAGTCAAACTAAAGTTTTGCACTTTGTAATACATTTAGTGATTTAGTTAGTTTAGATCTTAACAGCTCAAAGTACATATCTAAGCTATGTTTATAATCAGGGATAAGTAATTGAATTATTAATTTCTTAAACTTAAAATATTAGGACGAATCAATTAATGAATTATCAATAATTAAATTAGATCGACATAATAACTAGTATCTAAATATTACACTCGTAAAAAGAAACAAAGGTTAGGCTTATCTTTGAAGCTAGTAGAGACAACTGGTCTACTCAGGTGATGTCACGTGTAGCAGCTAGTCAAATATTCAAATAAGAAAACCAATTGGTACGTAAAAATTCATAGGCATGCAGATACGACATTTTTTATTTAGATACCATATCATATCAGGTAAGATTACAAAATCTACATTCATTATGTCATAGTGCTGTCATGAAGCTAATGTATATTTTTATTTAAGTATATATAGATTTTTTTTTTATGCAACTTATAATGGCAAACAAGCTGACAGCCCACCTGATGGAGAGTGGTAACCGTCGCCTATAGACATGTGCAGTACCGTGGACATAACAGAGTGTACTGTTTCGTCCATGATACCCCCCCATGCGTTGCTATTCTTGAGGACTCAAGTCTCCCTCTGGTAAAATATAATATTAAAGAAAACTTACGATAGGTTAAAAAATAAACAAATAGGTGTGACGAAGTCACTAACATCTCACTGTTTAAATACTAAAATCGAATATTCTAATCTCTATAATCACATTTAATAAAATCTGTCTTGCCGTTGCTTTGATTAAATACAATTTTACATAAAAAAAATATTTTTATAAAAAACATGAAAAAAATTCTAAACATACAGTTTGATATACATATTTTTTATGTAACTTGCATTGTCAAGTAAGCTAAGTACCTGAGGAAAAGTGATAACCGTCGTCTGTTAACATGAACAGCTGTAGCCATTACATAATATTATGTAATGCCATGCCATATTAAATGATATTATTTTTATTTAGTGTTTACGCCTATAAGAGCCTATAACTCCTAAGGTATCACATTAAAGTATTGAATTCCTTAAAAAATTAATAAGAATAATTGTTCAGCATGCACGAAGCCGCGGGACTTAGCTAGTGAAGTGTAAACGTCTCAACAAAACAGGAAAAACTATCGACAACGAGCACTTCGCGTCACTAGCACCTTCATTCAGTTAAGAGGCTCAATTGCCTTGCAGTGCCCGCGCGAGATTACGCCACGCTTGACGTTTGCGATCGACTCTTTAGAAAGTTGAATTTTGATCCCGCGATATAAATTTTGGCGGTAAACTTGTGTTCTTTATTTGAATTTCGAAATTTGTACACCGTGTTTCCATTCTTATTTTGTAATTTTAAAATTTATTATTATTTAATTGATATTGTTTGTATCACGTGACAGATTTGAGGTCTTAACCAAGTTTTGTTGATTGTGCTTGATGATAAATGGGAAAAATCTATGTATATAACGTTGTCGGTATGTATGAACGCGGATGTAGAGTAGCTATTTACCTAGGCATGTCTAATAGAAATAGTGTTCCATAAATACTAGAAGGGAACACTATTTAATAGTACCTATTATTTTTATTCTGTCTGTTATATGCGACAAAATTGAAAACGAAATTAATCTTTTCTTAATATTTACATATACTATCTATTACTCTTCAATCAATCTAAAAAATAAAAAACAATAAGGTCTTATTTAATTTTTATAATTTAGCGAAATTACTATTCCGTGGACTATCTACTAACTAGAATTATAATAGTTTGGACTTAAAACTTTTAGAAAATTAGTTCTTATTGGTCCTTAGAAAAAATATTTAGCTGAGATGTCAAATTGAAATTTTAAATTTAGATATAGAATTAGAGAAATAATGCCTTAGAATCGATAATGAAAAATGGTTTATTTATAAAGTCTCATATTATATATGCAAACAATTTACATCTCATAACAAATAATGAGCCTGGGATAAAACATATTTAAGTATCACACCAAGTCTCAAATATAAACATGAGTTTTTTTTTTTTTTTTTGATGGGTGAAAATGGTATGGTAACCCCGCCTGCGCTAACGGGATACGCTGGCGGAGCACCAGTGAAGGGTGATAGATGAGAATGAAAACAGGCCAGTTAGCCCATCATGATGAATTCATCAGGAATTAACCATTATAGTTTCCAGGGGCAACCGCGATGAGGTCGACCTGGTTGGGTATATTGCTAGCAATGGGATTCTCAGTCTCCATTACTAACTAACAATCCCATTCCCCCCCTATAAACACGAGTATATATGTAATGTTTAACATACGCGAGTCTACGAGGAAGTTCTGCAAAAAATACATATATAAAATGCCAGGAAAAGCAGGTTTCATCACTTAAAGGCCGCTGATTTAAAATTATTTTTCCTTAATTTCATTTGATTGTTTCTTTCGCGTTCACTGCATTACTGTTTCCTGGCGGAGTTTGGTAATCTTTAACAGCCTATTAAAGTCCCACTGTTAGGCACAGGTTTTTGTCCATAGGAGTAGGATCTTGGTTTGGTCATTTGGAGAGGATGGATGAAAGAAGAATTACGAAAGAGATTTATCGAGCAAGAATGAATGGAGATGTCGGTAGGGGCCGCCCTAGACGGACGTATGTCGACCAAATAGGCGACGTGCTGAAGAAGGGCTAAATTAAAAGTACCCGTAACCGGCGAGCGTGTATGAAAAGATTGATGAATGTGGAAGAAGCGAAAGAGGTTTGTTTGAATCGAAGCATTTGGCGTTCCATTGTTTCTGCCTACCCTAATGGGAGACAGGCGTGACAGATATGTATGTATGAGTAGGATCTTGTCTGTTATTACCACGCTGGCCCAGTCTTAAATTAAATTATATATTATTACTATACCAGTGTATATTGTTTTTAGTTACTTTAAACGTTTTTACTAGGGATGAAAAAAGGAGTGGCGACAAATTTTCTTATGCCGTTTCTACACCTGTGGTGTTATCAAGTGTAAATTTTTCTTGTGATGTTTTTTTCTTTTTTTTTCTACTCTAGCACATTAAATATTTTCAGTCTGATGTGTCTACGGAATGTCTCATCCTTGGTCAGTGTAATTTGTTATGATTAATGTCGCTGGTTTATTTACGAGAAAAAGTTGCTTGAACATTGTCTATTATTTCTTTTCCTAAAAATAACAGCTACTGTTTTGTGCTTCAATATTAAATTACTTTTAAAATTAGATTTATCAATAAGTATGATACTTATTCGTGGTTTATGTGATATTAGCGACCCAGCCCGATTTCGCACTGGGAGATAGAATTTTCGAAAATAATATGTAGTCTGTATTCGTCGCTGATAATATAGCTTTCTTTATACGAAAGAAATATTAAAATCGCTTAACTCATTTTTAAATCTATTATTTACAAGCAGACAACCAATCTTTCCTCTTTATAATATTAAGCTTTTACCCGCGACTTCGTCCGCATAAGCGGAATACTTTTTTTTTTAATAAATGAAAATGGAATAGTAACTTCACCAGCGCTATCGGTATACACCGACGAGGCACCAGTGGAAGATGATAAGTGAGAATGAATGCAGGTCAGTTGGCCCACCATGATGAATTCGATACGAATGTGGTGGTGGTTTCCAGGGGAACCGCGTGGAGGTCAACCTGAGAGCGTCTATTGCTGGCAATGGGGCTATTAGATGTAATTACTAACAATCCCTTTCCCCCCAGCGGAATATGTTTACTGGGCGGGAATAAGTAGACCCCCATCCCATATATACTGTTCCGTAGTTGCGTATCAAATTTCATATTAAGTAATTGGTTAAGACGTTGAAGCACTAAGAGGTAACAAACAAACTCACTCACATTTGTAATATTAGTAAGGATAGTATAAATATAGTATAGACAAAGGGGGTGGGGGGGAAGGGATTGTTAGTAATGGAGACTGAGAATCCCATTGCTAGCAATATACCCAACCAGGTCGACCTCCTCACGGTTCTCCCTGGAAACTAACATGGTTAATTCCTGATGAATTCATTATGATGGGCTAACCGGCCTGTTTTCATTCTCATCTATCGTCCTTCACTTGTGCACCGCCAGCGTATCCCGTTAGCGCAGGCGAGGTTACCATACCATTTTCACTCAGCAAAAAAAAAAGTATAGACAAAAGCAACTGGGTTTTCCCTTGCTACAAATTGCCACTAACATCTTTTACTTGAATTTTTGTAACTATATATTTGTTTTCGTTCATATCAATCACTCTGCCCGTGTTCCTTGTTACAATACGTTGATCTGATAGTCCTTTGATCCCTATAAGATTATCGTGATTGGCCTTAAAAATTGTAGAAATTGTCTATTTTCTAGCTGACTGCGTATGTTTTTCTATTCTATAAGTAGTTAGCTAAAAGATTCCATTATAAGTTTTAGTATAAAATCTGCCATTTTAGTGGATCCTTTGCTAAAGTGCGTCGCCGCTATGCGCTGACGTCACCCGCCCACGCATACTTACCCCATCGCAGATACCAGTCAGTGTGGGTGAATGGAAAACGTTCCTGTTAGCAATGTAATGTCAAAGTTCACAATTTATACGTATATGATGCACTGCAATAAAAGAATCATCAAAATCATGATAGGTCGAACTCCACGCCCTCTTTGAAACCGTCGTGGTTAATTCCTGGTAAATTGGTCGCGGTGGGCCAACTGACCTGACATC